TGGAGGTGACGTGACTTCCATAGGCCTTCTTCAGTTTGGCTGCGACTGTACAACCAAACGACTGCTTTATAGTTGGTGTACATGAAGGCTGATGGACGAGATCCTCCTTCTGCTTGTCGAGGAATGTCCTGAAAATCTTCCGCCCTGGTACTCGTATCCACGTCTTCCCTCTGGGCTGCGTATCGTACGTTGCATGTCGGAGACCTGCACACTGAATGCTACTACATGAACTTCGGGGCGTAGTCTGAGTCTTGGGTGGTTCTGTCACAGCTATGAAAGATGCCGATTATTCGGCTGCAGGATGAAGGGTCGCCTAGGGTCACGGGGAAGGAGCATCGGGTGGGCGAGTGAACAACTGTTCTGTGAAAAAATAGATCAGCTTTAAAGTAGTGTTTCACCTTGTCGAAGTTTTTCGCACCGTCCCCTACCTTCCCTAGGCTACGACACTTTTTATCAAATACTGCGAGCTAACAAGAAACGATTTCATCGTCGCCACACAAGCTCTTCATATCCAGTGATTCCTGATTTATAGAACTGCACCATTCCCAACGTGATATTTTTTTCAATCTTGGGTTACTCAGCCTTGAAGGCATTTCCCGCGACTGCACAACATAGGTAGCAGGGTTCAAAAACAGGAGTGCATTGTGCTAGTTGACTTAGTAGTGAAGAAAAAAGTATGAAAAACCGTCCTCAATATGACCCTCCTCCTTGCACTTGATCATGATCATCGGACGAGAGTAGGATGGTCAAGATCAACAGTGATATGCAGAAGGTGACGATACACTGCAAAGCGCGGAGAGAGACCAAATGACGGGCGAGAGAGCACAACGGCACTAGTACGACGACACGGGCAATGTAGGCCGGCATGGGCCTCCTTGGGCCTAAAATCGAAGTTTACTGTGCTTTGCGTGCCATTTTGCAAGTTTTGAATGCAGTGCAACCTCTACAATCGCCTACCGGATCATCTGACACATTTAAGATTACAGCCTTAGTTCATTGCGGAGGGTGCCTTTATTAGGATAGATTTTGATTGCAATCCACCGATCTACGTTCCCCACAAAAATTAAACGTAACATTCGTCATCAACGTGAGGTCATATCGTTCGTATTAGCCCCCAGTAGCTGCGCATACACCTGTCACTATCCCCGAGCCGACGAGCTCCCAGACCCCGTGGTCAAGCCGCTGCGACGGGAAGAGTTCTGGGTCTACTCGCTACAGGACATTCAGCAGACACAGACGGAGACATTCAGCAGACAGAGACGCAGACAGAGGCTGAGAGACCTACTTTGTCCACTCAGGAAGCAGCAGCAGGAATACATCACAGATAATTTTGAAATCATTACCAGATCCAGGTCCGCCAAGAAGACGGTGCGAGAACTACTTTAGAGACGTTCACCGTTCGCATGCGAGGTCTAGAGCTGCATAATCGCATTGTAGCAATTGTTAAACAGCAAGTCCAACTTGAAACTGAAATTCTAGCGGAACTCAACACTCGGAGGTAAAAGAGTACAATTTTTGACAGAGGAAATGTGACTCTTTTCAGAGATTGAAAAGGAACTGCCATCGTAGCTAGTAAAATAAATTTGCGTCGCGTAATAAGCAGCTAAAGTACAACTATCAAACGTGGCTCATTCAGGAAAGAGAAAGCCTTTTGTGGCGTGGCCCAATGGAGGAAGGAAAGCACAGAACAGAGAAAAAAAAACGACAATCGTTTCTTTGTCTTCCCAGATTAGCTGATTTCATTGCTCATCGGCTTCACAGTTCTACAGTTTTTTTTTCTATGAAAAG